ATATTGCTCTGTTTTGCTTTGGAAATATAACCTAGATGCAGTACCACCATAGATTAAATATAACTCAAGTCGACTAGCTATCACATTGTTGATTCATTATTTTCATGTCTAGTTCACGTTGGTGACACTGAACGTTAGTGTTGACATACTTTTGTTTCTATAATTTTAGGGTTAGTTCTATGATGTGTGTTTTAATTTCTTGTAATATAACCAGGAGACGACCTATTGTTTATGATTACATCGTTTTATTTAGGATAAACTAAGTTTAAATAACAAGAATTGTTATAATGAGCTAGTCCATAATGATGACAAATCTACTAAAGGAGTATGTTTAATCTATGGTATCACGTACTGTATGGAGTTCATGTTTTTGGGCCTGAAATTGGAATCAATGGCCATGTTTTTTGCAGGAATGCTCGGTGGGTTGAGTTGTATTGTTTCAGTTCCACAAACGTGAGCATTTACTAAAAGCATAAAATTGCTAAAAGTGTTTAAGACTGCACTTTATTAAGGAAAACGAGTCAATTCTTCAAAAAAACTTGCAATGATAAAATTCCGACCAGGAGTGGTATTCAAGCAATTAACTTAGGCCTATGTGCGTGATAACTGTGGCCAGACTAGGGGCGGAAAATTATTTGGGCCTAGGGGCGCCAAAATGCTAAATCCGGCCCTGTTTAAGCTATTTGAAAAGGTCTGGATATAAATTGGGAAATTTTGTATTTTTAGGGTAACGTGTTTCTCCATTTCATATATTAGTAAAAGTATTAAATTCAATAATAGCATTGACTACTGTATTTAAACCTTAACACAAGTGTTTATATAGTCAACGAGGCTACTAGTCAAGGCCACACTAAAAAAAAACAGGCCGTAATGCTCGTATAGCATGACGTTACGATAGAAGACGCAATGACGTAATGTTTGCCGTTTGTGATCTGCTGCTTGTTTTAATCTTTTCATGGAAAACAAAAATATAATCTGAAATACGTCATTGCCGTCTTCTATCGTGACGTCATGCTTGACGAGCAATACGGCCTGTTTTTTTAGTGTGGCCTTGCACTAGTGCTACCGCTAGATGGCTTATGCATGTGTACGTTAGTAGCTAGCAGACAATTTGCCATCTAGGAACATGAAATCAGCTGTTTCCCCGTCCTCACTGTCGCGGTTGCTCGCCTAGCATGTCAACAGCTGACTGCTGTAAAAATTGGATGAGGCGACAGTAACTTTTTCTAGTACGCATCTTTACCATGATATCTGCCAATTCAATTTCGTCCAAAAAATGTATACACATCTCTAAGATCTGTTGCCAATTGACAAGCAATTCAATAAAAAAATAAAAAAAAAACTATTGTTTATCATCCCTGCAAAACTGCTAATATTTCATGTTCAAATTTTCATCAGAATTCCGTTAGTTTAAATCAACGATCACATAAGACCAATAGATGGAGCACGCCTATATAACTAACATACAAGCAGTTGAAGCCAGGTCCGCCATCTTAGTGCAGGCATCTTTTTGTCTATGGTGCAGGTTGGAAGTGGTAGATGCCAATGAAAACGGCACCAAAACTCAATGTCCAGCTTCAAAATAACTTGACATTTAGCCTATTATTTCGACTAAAGGTAAATCGTTGAAGCTTCGTATAAAAGATGTCAATTAGTCTAGGACACTATTGGTTCTAATTAAAAGCTTAAAAGTTTATATTTTCTTTTTTAAATCTTGAAATAAATTCGGTACTTTTAAATGAGTTTTAAAATATGACATAAAAAAGTTCGTCGGCTGCTACTGTTTTTATTTTTTGGCCAGGTAAGTTAAAAAACGGTGGATTTCGTGGATAAAGAGCTCAATTTCTTGGATCATATTTTTTAAAATTTTATAAAGAGTTTTAGAAACCATATTGTGGCTTTGAAAATTTGTACATTGTAAATCAAACGCCAAACCTTTATCACACTTTAATAAGATATAGATACATATATTATAAATTAATTTGTAGCTTTTCAGAATTTGTCTTTCGCCCAAAAAGTTTTTGTTGTTAATATCTAAACTAACTTTTTCTAAGATACGGTAAACGCTAGAAAACAAATTCGTGTTTTAAAGGTCATTGTTCAACCGTCATGAATTGTTACATACCAACCTTTAGGGCCTATTGGTGACATTGGGGGGTGGAAGTCTAAATTTAGTTTATTACAATTACATCAATGACCTTGAGCTCTGCTAGTAAGATGCCGTGGTATGGTGGCGTGTCGGGGAGAAGGGAGTGGTGCACGACGTCCAAGTGCCACGACGTCCAATAATATTTTTCCAGTGCCACGACGTCCAAAACATAATTTTTGAGTTGTTGCACGACGTCCAAGTGCCACGACGTCCAAAAGTACAGTAACTGCCAAAAATATAGTCTTTCTACAAGCTTTGGAGTAGTTTATAACTAAACTACTCATTGCCAGTGCCACCCAAATACAGTATAATCAGCTGATTGGTGTCCGGTAATAGTATATTACGTTACTAGGCCTAGTCCTGAAAATAAGTATTTGCCGGACGAGTGTGGTCGTTCCCTTGCGAGACGAAGTCGAGTACGGGATTACCATACGAGTCCGGTACACACATTTTGGACGAGTTACGTACGATAGTTTACGCCATACTGATACTACTAAATCCGTACAAATCCTTATATATTTCTACCAACTAAAGGACTAAAAATCACTAGTCATAACCTCTTTAAGGGGTTATGTTTTTGTTTATAACCACTCATTGCCACCCACTGAGCTATAATTCTAACTGGAGGTAGCACTGAATGTCAAAGATGCGTGTCGCCAGCCGCCATGTTTGCGTGAGGTGGGTGTCCATAAGAAGCCATGTTATTGCTATGACAAAAAAACTCACTTTTTTGGAGTTGCTATACAACCTAGTTATAAGAAGCCATGTTATTGCTATGGTAAGAAAACTTACTGCTATACCAACCTAACAAAATCAGCGACTCGCTTTTGACAGACTTCTGCCATGGCAGTGCTACCTCCAGTTATAATTTTAGCTCAGTGTTGCCACCCAAATACAGTATAATCAGCTGATTGGTGTCCGGGAAAACTCATTGCAGTACAGTAGTACGCAATGAAACCCCATTTGAATAAGCTGGCGGCAAACAGCTGTTTTCTGGACTAAATACTTGCGTGGGAAGTTCGTCAAAATAATGTAGTGTGGCGTAAATATATATTATACCATAAATGTTGTGTTTTTCTACAAACCTATACACCATAGAACAATAACAAAATCAAAATAATTCTTTTTACAAAATTGGTAATTTTTAGTAGCAACTACCCTTTAATTGTAAATTGTTTTTGTTCAAAATCATTTTGTCAGCAAAAATTAATTGTTAATTTATTATGTAAATTGGTATGTACCCTTGGAAGAATAAATAAATAATATATATATTTATTTATTCAGTAGTAGTAAAAATTATATAATTACAAATGTAAATTTACCTGAAGTACCCAACGAAAGTGCCATACAAATTAAAACAAAAATATACAACTCTATTGTCTGAACAATCACTTAGTGAAGCTCAAATTCTGTGTTAAAGTAACCTGCTTAGTTAAGACCATACAAGTGGAATGGTGGAATAAATACATCTTATCAAAGTACGAAAGTAGTTATCCATTGGAGAAGATACAACCAATGATTATAAACGAATACAGTAAACAGCATATCCTCATGCTTTTTTTGTAAGCTAGTTAATTTTGGCAATATCGCTCGATATATATATTATTTTTCAATCTAATTCGATAACTTCCAAGTTAAAGTGTTAGTGTAAACCACTAACCACTCACTGTGTAAACCGAACTGAACCGAACGAAACGAACCCAAACAAAACAAACCGAAACCCGAAACCCAAATAACAAATTAACAAAATAATAACAATCCAACCTGCAAAATGCTGCAATCTGCAATCCTGCAAATTGAATTGGACAAACTGCAACTCAACTGCATAGTGCATTAGCCCTAATCCAAAATCCAATTTAAATTCCTGTCAAGTCAATTGTCAAGCTATAAGTGTTAATGTCTTACAATTTTATTCCTGTTTGCCTTTTTTTAGAGCTGCTTGTGCTTGTTTGGTATTGGTACTCTTTGTATTCCAGATCCAGTGTTCGCGGCGCAGTGTTGCCACTTTTAGGGTAATTACCCTTTTTTAGGGTAATTTACTGGTCTTAGGGTAAAGTTTAGGGTAATAGTAGATTTAGGGTAATTTTAGGGTAAAACTAAAAGTTAGCATAAAAATGGAAACTTTACTAAAAAAAATGAAAAAAAACTTCAAAATTTGGCAAAAAACGTTCATTACATACTATGGCCAAACCATCATATTCGATTCAACCGGTTTAAATCGATTGCTATGATGAATTTTTCATAATAAGTTATCCTAATCGATCTTATCAATAGTTGGGAATTATCTGTTTTAGAATGTATCGATTCTATAACACGTTATAGGCCTGATAAAATATGAAATATTATTCATTACTGGGTTTGATATTTAATTATGTGATTGAATTGAATTAAACTGGATTATTTTACAAATTGTGTCAAGAAATTACTACTATGTATAGATTAAAGCTTTGGTGGTACCGTACTGTATTTTAAAGATATGATTGTTCAAAAACAGTAGTAATGGGTCGATACAGTAAAAAAATACGATAGTTCTTGATTCGATTTTTTTCGCTATACGATAGTCGATAGAGCTGTCAAAATCAACATTTTGTTCTTCTTTCGGGTGGTTTTTTAGAATCGAGTCTAATTTTACGTAAATTGATTGATATTGGAACTTCATTTAGTATAATTAACCACCTTATGTAAGATTTATATGATTTTAACAATGTTTTATAGCATTAAACGCAAATATTAACATTTAGGGTAATTTTTAGGGTAACTCAAAGTAGATTTAGGGTAATTTAGGGTAATTTTAGCCCGCCTTTAGGGTAAAATCGCAACAACGCGGTGGCAACACTGTACGCGGCGTCAATCACATCAATAGGTCGTTGAGTGTTATAGGTATAGGCCTAGGCTAGTGTTTTGTTTTTAGTTTGGTCGTTAGGTCAGACAAGTGTTGTTGGGATTAGCTTAGCTTTTAAAAGTCAGGCATTTTCAGGCATCAGGCTACAGTTAAATTTGTAGAAGTAGCCTACACTGTTAACATTACTGTGAGTTGATTTTTACTGTTATGTGATTGATCCCTAAACGTAGGCTAGATACTTTGTTAGCCAATTTGACTTATTTTACATCTTAGGCCTATAACAAATTGACAATTATTTAAATAGATCTAAATTGTGAATTTTTAAATAGGCCTAGTAATTCAATAATGCCTTTGCTTGGTGAAAAGGTACACTGCTATAAATGCACAAAAAATGAAAGCTTTATGTGGCATCAGACTCCTAAGGGTGTTCAGTGCAACGACTGCCACGAATCCGAACACACAGCTAAGGTTGTTGAAGAAGAGGAGAAGAAACCTGCCACGATAGAAAAACCAAAAACTGCCTCCAAAAGAAATTCTACGAGGGCTTCTCGTTGTTATAAGACTCGGCAAAATCCAAATGCCACACCTAAACAGTATTCTACCAAGGGAAAGGGGAGGCGAAGCGTATTTAAGAAAAAAGATGTAAGTAGGAAATTAATTCGACAATTTTAAGGGAATATTTCAGTGAAATTCCATCCATATTGATGTTATTTGGTCCAGGATCACTTCTTGAATATTAAAATGGTATATATTACCTGTTTCCGTCTGTGATCCTATATTTGTTGTATAGAGCAACCGGTTTCAAGGTTATAACCTCATCTTCAGGCTCTTGTTGTCACTCTTGCGAGATCGTCGAGTTTTATAAACACACAAAAACACTAACATTGAAATAAATAAACACGAGACATTGACAGACGAAGACGATTAACATAAATTCGGGAACTAGTTTATGTTAATCGTCTTCGTCTGTCAATGTCTCGTGTTTATTTATTTCAATGTTAGTGTTTTTGTGTGTTTATAAAACTCGACGATCTCGCAAGAGTGACAACAAGAGCCTGAAGATGAGGTTATAACCTTGAAACCGGTTGCTCTATACAACAAATATAGGATCACAGACGGAAACAGGTAATATATACCATTTTAAAATTCCATCCAGGTAACTTAACTTAACTTAGATGGAAATTCGCCTCGGCCTAGGCCTAGTTTGCAGGGTTGCTGCAGTGGGGGGAAAAGTCAGGGAATTTTGTTGGTCTGGAAAAGTCAGGGAATTATGAAAAAATTCTGGAGTTTCTCCTGAAAGACTACCTTTTTACAGATAGCCTATGCTACATTTTGTTCTTAACAGGTTTTTGTTAGGGTGATGACTAATGGTAAAAAGAACGACATAAGCACTGATGCACATTTTTATATCGATAAGTTAGTTATTTATCAGTACGGGTGAGGAATTGATGTATATAGTTTGAAACAAGTTTTGTATTTGGGGCTTTAGGAGTAAATAAATAACTTAAATATTTAACTTACATTTTTTCTATTCCTTCTTGATCTTTAATAGTCGATATCGACTTATGGTATACCGTACATGGAAAAAGTATTTAAGTTATGTAGGCCTAGTCATATTATATAGAAAACCTGGAAAAGTCAGGGAATTTTATTTAAGTTACCAAATTTAGTACCGGTACCTACCCTGGTTAAGTTACCTACTACACAGTGGGGCAAAACGGATTAAGGTATGTTGTCACTGGTGCGGCTGGAACTGACCTCAAGTGTGGTTGAGCTTACTTGCTAACACTTTGGAAACATTGTAAGTAGGAGCACATTTAAAGTTAACTAATGGTCTGATCGGTAGGCCTTGTATCCTTCTTGTATATTTATGGGATCCCCTTCATCACCGGTGCTTTTGAATTCAGGATGTTCATCTTATATCGACATTCTTCGGGATCACTCTGGTGCATTTTTTCACAACGTCGGATAGCTCTTTTTGGTATTTCTGCGTTGGATCCTTGTGAAGCTCGTTGAATTTATTTTAAATATGTAATAATCTTGAACTCCAAGATCGTCCCACTATTACTCCAAGATCGGAGCTCCAACAGTGATGGGTGTTGCGTTCCCCAATCTGCAGGCTTGCGGCGCTTGTATATTGTCGTGATAGTTTAGTATAAAAGCTTTTTGACCTTTTAACTTTTATGTATTTACAAAAATAATACTTTGATAAAGTTATTAAAAAGTCCCTACTGGTATAAAACCTAATTAGACATAGGTACCATTTTATGCATAGGCCTAATTAACATTAATTGGCGATAAATAACGCCTGTGATACTTTGCAATTGCTTGAATTCGAGCAACAGGTACACTGGTACTCTAGTAGTATTATAGCATGTTATTATTGGTATAGGCCTACTCTGTTCAGATTAATACTGTACATCTGTCTGCCCATAACTTTTGCGATATGGGTTAATTAAGGCTATTTAATTTTACTTACCTGAACCAGTAAACGTTATTTTCGATAACACATATGCATATCAGCAATCATCGGCACATCATCAGCGTTAAAAAAAACATCTACGTTCTTAATTGTAGCCGTGAAAATGCTGATTTTGGTATTAGAGGCCCTACTGTCAAAATAGGCTGATGGGTATTCGTTTAATGAAAACGTGGATTGCTTGAGTTCAGTAAATAAAATCTGTATACAAAGGTTTACTTAATTTACCTCCGCACCCGTCAAAACAATCCTGTGTAATAATTTGTTTAACTACTGTACAGCTGTTTCGTGCTACAAGAGCACGCCATCAAGTAAAATGAACGTCAGCTTCTATACTTCCCTCCGTCGTGGGCACACAAAAAATACACAAATACAAATGTAGGAGACATTTATTAATTGTTGAAACAGTAAACCAAGCGAGCAAAAACACGCGCGGTCCGGCGCCGACAATTGTTCTGTTGGAGACCAGGAAATTAAACTAAATACTTCCATCATCGATATATAACGATACACTATAACGACTAAGCGAATTTCCATTCGCCTGATTGGATTTACACTAAATTGTCTCCTTAAAAATATCACATTTTTCCTTATTTAAATAGAATTAGTTTAACACGTACTTAAGATTGCTGCAACAGGGGGGTAAAAAAAGTTTTTTTTTGTCTAATGTTAATAGTTAGGTAAAATATGAACGCATTTTCCAAATTTGATAAAAATATGTTCATAAACAAGCAAACTACAACAGTGTAGGTACTTATTCTCCATAAGAATAACATGGATGTTTAAATTTACAATTTTTTGGAATTGTTTTCGTAACCTTTAGGCGCAAAATAACGCTTCAATATACTAAATTATATGTGTTTTTTTTAACTGTACAAAATAGGTTGGAAAGAAATTGCTAAATTTTATGTTTTTTGGGTAAAAAAATTGAAAAAAACCTATTTTTATCCCATAAACCCCTGTCCCATAATCCGATCTAGCTGGTTCCCGAACTCGTTAGAATAAATACGTAGGTTTACATGTGTCTACCAAATTTCATCAAAATCGGATAATTTTGCTCAATTTATCGCGCTAATGGACACACACACACACACAACATATTTATATATATATATAACTTATATATATATATATATATATATGAATTTGAACGGAGGGTGTTTTTGGCCTCTGGGGACCTCAAAACGAAAAAGTAAATCGGTCCCGGGTCCAGATCTTACCATGAGTACTACGGTAATAGCTTATTCCCTATATGGGAAATTTGCTAAAAACAAATAAATAAGTTACCGTAACAATTAAATTAAATATAGTAAGTAATATTTACACCAGCTGGGTTAGTACCGGTAACTGTTTTACAATGAAAACAAAATCATACTTTTTGAAATCCTAATGTAATTCTTATAAGGATATTTTACATTATATCTAATTTTCTCTGAAATTGAAATTTCACCCACCGTAAGGGTATCAATACTTTTAATTTGAGACATCTACCATCATTGTAGGACTTGTAAAACTCGAGATATTTTGTGCTGAAAGATTCCCTTGCGGTATAAAATATATACAGGGTGGTAATAAAGTCCGAGGACAGTTAAATATTTTCCAAACGACAACAGATAAATCAATAAGATTTGGTACAACACAACACCACTACTGTACAGTGTACAGTGCTAAGGGTAAAAACACAGTAGAGCAGGGCAGGTAGCTGGTAGCCTGGCTGGTCGCTTACTCGCTTACTGCTATGTAGAATTAAAGCACGCGTTGTTATGGGTACGCACACAGTTGTGCCTAGCTGGTAGCCGACACGGTAGCAGTAAGCTAGGCGGCAAGCTAGAAGAATTGCCAAGTCGATTGTTTGGTAGCTGCAAGCGGGGAAGGCTCGACTGGGGCATGCGCAAATTGCAGAACACGGGATCTTTCACTGTGATCTCTGTATACAGATTGTTGTTTTTTATAGTCGATTTATTTGTTTGTTGTTTTGTTTACATGAAATAAAATTATGGACGTAGACAAATTAATTTGTGCCTCAACGATTCGGGAATGAAATAGCAAATGAACTAGGATTCAAACGTAAGATTATATTATCCCTAGGGCGTACCCAGGATCAAAACTAGGGGGGCAAGAGCGTACTTGAAACAGGGGTGGCCCACCGGGGGGCCTGGGGATATGGAATACCCCCCCAGTCTGTAGGGGGGTCCGTGGGTACTCCCCCGGGAAAATTTTTTAAACAATATGCCGAAATTAGCGTTTTTACGCTATTTTGAGACATTATTAGGCTATAACAAACCTAGCTTGGTAATCCATTTGTTTATAAATGATAGCTAACATTCCGGCTGACAAGCGACTGTACTGAGCGCTACTGTGTCTATGTACCAGTGGTAAAGCGGGGACCAGCGTGTATGCGAGTATGCGACCTGCCCGGCTTTACTGTGTTTTTACCCTAAAAATCTACTTTTTTTAGGAAATATCAGTTTTCTGTCATATTATGGGGACGTCCCGCAAGGAGTCAGAAGGAAATCTTAAATAGAAGCATAGGTTCATATGTACATCAAATTAAAGGTCTTTACTAGCAGAATATAATGCCGGACAACCGAGCCAAGAATGACAGTTGTTCAAAGATTCATTTAATTTGCAATGCTATTATATGCTTACTCCTCAGGGGGCACCCTAGGAATCGGAAGAAAATTGTTAACGTAAGCATAGGTCGATATGCACATCAAGTTAAAGGTCTTCACTAGTAGATTTCAATGCCGTAAATTCAAGCTCAAAAGAACGCCTGAGTAAAAAATGGCTGTCGTTCAAAGATTCAAAATGGCAGATTCAAGAAATCTTTGAACGGCTGCCATTTTGCGCAGGATCAACCTTTTGAAGTGCGCTTTGCGGCATTGTATTCTTCTAAAAAAGACCTTTTATTTGATCTAGATGCTTCCATTTAAGATTTTCTTCCGACTCCTTGTGGGCCGTCCCCCTGAAGAGTTATTGGATCACTGAATATGTGTTAAAATACAGTTTTATGCTCTGTAACTTTGTACCAAGTATTGTAGCTCTATCTACATTATTTTTTAAAATATTTAACTGTCTTCGGACTTTATTACCACCCTGTAGGCCTATATATAATAAATTTAAAAGTTAATTACTAAGTGTATCAACTAATCACTCCAAATATAATGCAATATGACCTTGAACGTAGAATAAGTAGTTGAAGTTGAGAAGGTAGAATAAGGCAATGAAGAAATATATGCAACACATAGCATAATAAATCATCATAATTACTGTACAAACAATAGGTTAGTATACATAAATATTTATAAAGGTTTAAAAATTAAAATGAATGCATGTGACTCATAGTTGTTAGTTGTTGTATATATCTAGTTCAACTCCCAATAGCACATTGTGCATTACTTACCATAAATTATTGCATAGTTGTGTAAGGCAAATAAAGGGTTAGATAAGTGATATTCGATACGAATAAGCTTTTTATCCCAAATCTCCTATCTACCCATTGTTCCAGTTGTGTTACTTCGATGGTCCATCCCTATGAAGAAGAGGGGGCCTGAGGCCCCCCTTTGGATTCTCACGTTGGTAATTTTTTTTACATTGTGCACTAAAAACATCAAAGTTAAATAATGCACACGTATTTGTATGTATAGGACTCGTGAGTACGTGCCAAACGCCCGACAAAGAATTACCTTGAGCGAGAATTTGTTCCCTTAAAGATATATTTTTTATGTGTTTAGATTGTGTATTTACCAACTTCTGAATTGACACCTATTAGGCTACTCCAGATGGTTTTTTGCACATTCTCTGGTTTTTATTTTTTTCTCAAAATATTTAATTTTGGCTTGAGTTAGGTTCTTTTTTACCCTAATGATTATTTTGTGTTAATAGATCATGTGATGGAGGTTGATTTTTAAAACATGTATCTTTTGCCAATTGTATTAGGCCTAGTTAATTTTTTTTCAGTTTTTAGGTTGTTTGTGAGCCAGGGCATATTTTCTCCTTCTTACCATTAACGGTTTTTGGGAAAGAATTGTTGAAATGGATTATGAATCTGTCTGAGAACTCTTCATATTTTATATTATCGGAACTCATGTAAACATTGGTCCAGGGCTCACTTCTGATTTGGTTCAATAAATAATATAGGCCTACCTATATTTTGAGCCGATAATTTACGTAATTTGCGTTTAAATGGTTTATTTTTGTTAGTATTAAGGTATAAATTAGGTTAACAGTTGACCATCATGATTAGAAAGACAGGTTATAGGCCTAATACCGTCGATAGATAGTTTAAAATCGTGGTTTTTTTACTATGAAATTATCAATACTAGTTTTAGGGTGTTCTGTTACTCGAGTTGGAAAATCCACAAGATATCTAATATGGAGGCTCTTTAATGTATTTTTTTTTAGCATGATTTGATTTGTATGGTTTTTTAGAACTAGTTATACTTAATATTCTTTTAACATCAATATTAATTTCCCCCCCCCCCCCAAATCATATGTTAAATATTTTTTTTTAATAAAACCTAACCAAAGTACAACAACCCCGGTCGGTTTGTTCGGATTGTTTTAAATTTTTATTTGTTTTTAACTTCAATATACACTCTTTTTACACAATTTCATGTTTCAGAAATATTTCATTTAAGGTAAGTTGGGTTTTGTAAATTTTTACCAAATATTTAAATAGATTTATATAGCCTACCTCAAGTCATCGATTCTAGTTTAGTCTTGGGCGATTAGTCTCTAAACAACAGTATCATTTTTAAGCCTCTTATCTTCTTTTAATTATTTGAACACATTGTCGTTATCGATTCACAATAAAACATTTAACAACCACAAACACGGATACAATGCGCAGTCGGCCATAACACGCACAATGAGGGAAAATCCTAAAGCTCCACCAAAAAAATGACAAATCGACTTACATATTGAATACTGTAACTGTATGTATATGGATTTAATATTAACTAACAGGAATTTTCTTTTTAATTTCAGCCAGTAAAGCTGACCCCGTCTGGTGCTACTTATACTACCTCAACAATGGTGCTTTACAAGGTAATGTGTTTACTTATGTAACATTTACTTCATTTTGTGTGTGAACTGATTTACAAAGAGTCACATTATGTCTCTTACAAAGACAAAACATATGCCTAATTTTCATTTTTTTATTTTCACTATCTTCATTTAGTTTTAGTAACACTAACACATAACTTAATACCCTGGTATTAGTATACTTGGCTTCTGGCCAAGTATGTATTTAATGTCAAGAATCAAGAATCAAAAGCTTTATTGTCATTGGCCTTTTTATAAGGAATAGACATATTCAACAGAAATAGAAACTAAAACTAGAAAAGATAGTGGGTTCTAAATTAAAAATCAATATTAATATTAGACAATAAATACTTTGTTATACAATAATATGGATTGTTGATGAGCCACTCAAACATTTTGGCCAATCTATGGGCAGTGATGTCAAGATTGATTAGACACTTGTATTGTAAGAACGTATACTCTCTCTAAAAGTGAATTGATGAAGATTAGCTTTAGTGTAGAGGAGTATGTGGAAAATGTACAAATTTACTATAGTCATAATTTTAAGGTTTATAAAAAAAGAAGTCGACAGCTATCCACAGGGCCAGCCCTATGGATTGTTCGTTATAATTTTTTTTTGCAATAAAAGAATTTCATGGGTGTGGGGGGAGTGTTCCCATAGTACAATCCCGTAAGAAATATGTGATTGAAAAAAACCAAAATAAGTAGTCCGAAGGTATTCATTACTAACAAAATCTCTTGAGTAATCAAATTGAAATTAGGTTAGGAGTTAAGGAAAGGCCAATTGGCTGATTAGGATTATTATTTATAATGAAATTATGTACAAATTGAAATTAGATAATTTTAGAAATTGTGAAATTTTATTTTTTTAGAGTCAAAAACAAATTTTTACCCCATAAACCCCCCCCCCCCCATTAACCCCCGTTCTCATAGTCTGGGTGTTTAGTAGTCAGTGTCAAATATTTTAAGGCATTATTATGCACACAAATTTTGATTTGCATCAAAATTTGAGTGCATAATAATCAATATTAATATTAGACAATAAATACTCTGTTATACAATAATATACTGATACCAGAAGTAGGAGTGAGATATGACTATCCAAATTGCGTACATACAAATACGCAATTTGGATACTCATATCTCACTCCTACTTCTGGCAACAGCCATTTTTAGATTTTCCCAAATTTCTTGACATTGCCTAATAAAATCTCATATTTCTCAACTTTTAACCTGCATAATGATATTTTCAATTGCATTTTTAAAATCGTCATTAAATTTTCTATCAGAACACATACAATATGGTACAGCTTAACCCATTCAAAAGTTTGTAAATTGGACTTAAATAACAAATTTTTAAAACTCGATAAAAAGGGCGCTACAACTTGCTTAACATTTTTTATCAAGTCGTGTTAAAAACTGTCAAATAGTATAAAAAACACCTCCTCATTTTAAGCTTTAAAATTATATGCAATATGTGACATGTTGTCAGCCTAAGGGGAGAAATATTGCGTTAAACATAAAATTAATCACTTTTTCATTAACTGCTCGCAATTAAAAGAATGCATTTAGTGAAAGTTGTGTGCAAAAGGTATCTGTATAGTTAAGTATACCCCAAGTAAACTTGTAAAATCAAATTCTGTAGTGTATAGTACACCCCAAACTAGTTGTAGTGCTTTGAATTCCACGCAAAAGTAGTGATATTTATCAATACACACGTTAGCTGTGATTACGAAGATACTGATCATATGTAATTTAGATTATTTTTACCGAACAAATTTTGGGATCACATCATCTGTCCGAGTTTCATTTGTCTGAGGTTTGATAAATAACTAATAATATTTAGATAAATCAACTGTCCGAGTTTTCATTTGTCCGAGTTTATTAAATTATTTTTAAAAATATCAAAATATCAAGTGTCCGAGTTTTCAACTGTCCGAGTAGAGTCAACATCAAAAATGTGACACAGCGTGCCGAGACTGGCGTCTCAGGCGCCTGGTCAGAAGCCGATGTAAACCTCTTCTGCGAAGAAGTCGGGCATTGTGCGAGAGCTCCTCACGTAGACTAAAAAAAATTATATTATATCTTTTTTACATTATCAACAAGTTTGGTTGGTTAGTTTAGCTTATGACGGTTTAATTTTATAATAAAACATTTCCAAATTAATTTTATAATAAAAAATTATAAGTAAACCTTCATCCAATTTTTATCTTTTATATCTTTTTTATATTATCAGTAAGTTTGGTTGGTTGTGTTAGGTAATGACAGTTTAATTTTATAATAAAAAATATAAAAAAAATTAAAAAAATAATTTTATAATAAAAGAATTATAAAATTAATTTTATAATTATCTTTCTTAAGTCGACGTGAGGGGCTCTCGCACGATGCCCGACTTCTTCACAGAAGAGGTTTACATCGGCTTCTGAGCAGGCGCCTGAGACGCCTGTCTCGGCGCTCGGTGTCACATTTTTGATGTTGACCCTACTCGGACAGTTAAAAACTCGGACACTTGATATTTCGATATTTAAAAAAATAAATTTAATAAACTCGGACAAATGAAAACTCGGACAGATGATTTATCTAAATATTATTAATTATTTATCAAAACTCGGACAAATGAAACTCGGACAACTGATTTTTCTAATATTTTGTAATTTTTGACAAACTCGGACAAATGAACTGTAGTGTATTAATTTAATTATAAAATGAATTATATATTTCTAATTCAGATTCAAATATTACAAGTATTACATTTGCTAGCTCGATCCATGTACCGTTAGATATCGTACGATGTGACGTCATATGGCTTGATCAAATAAACTAACCCCATTGGTTGTTTCCATCACACCACCTTCCGTTCCCACTGCTACCTCGATCACCCGACACTCTCTGTACAACAGTCATCGTCCTACCTCACCGGCTCCCGCACACCAATGCGGTTTTTCTTAACGTAAAGTGTGTTAATTATTTTGAGCACCTGATCCTCCTTCGCTCGCACCCAGGTTCGGATGCGACAATGGCGACGAGTGCGACAACCTACTGCGTGGATAAAGGAAGCGCGTTTTACAGTGCAGTGCCATTGTTTCGGTACGTTACATGCCACTAGACGGCAATTTTTACCTATTAAAATAGATTTGCAAGTACAAGGTAAACAAATGAGATTTGAAGTAGATTCAGGTGCTTGTGTTTCTGTTGTTTCGGAACAATTTTACAATAAGCACTTAAGTGATGTAAAACTAAACCCCACAGATCTAGATCTGAGCTCCTATACTCATGAAAAAATCAAACCTGTAGGTAAAATCAATGTTAATGTTAAGTACAAATCAGTAGAAAAATGCCTATCATTGTATGTTATAAGCAATGGTGCTAATCCTCTAATTGGTCGGGATTGGATTAAAGATCTCCAAATCGTTGTTAGTATCCCCAACAATGTAAATAGTGTAATGTCGACTTCAGATGAAGTAAAAGTAGAATCCGGCAATGAGTCTAAAGTTGTGCGAGATTTATTAAACGAATTCCCAGAGGTATTTACCACTAAGCTAGGCTGTTACAATGGAGATCCTGTTAAGTTAAAGCTCAAATCAAATGTAGTACCTAAGTATTGCAAACCAAGACCTATACCTTATTCTTTAAAAGACAAAGTAGAACAGGAATTACAATGTTTAGTTGACGATGGTATCATTTCCACTGTTTCAACTAGTGATTGGGGTACACCTATTGTTCCCGTACTAAAACGTAATGGCAAAATACGCATTTGCGGTGACTTCAAAGTTACCTTAAATCCATATCTAGAAGTAGATAGACATCCTATACCTCGCATTGAAGATCTTTTTGCAATCTTACAGAAAGGAAAACAATTTTCTAAAATAGATTTATCATCAGCCTATATGCAACTTAGGTTAGACGATGAAAGTAAGAAACTTTGTACCATAAGTACACACAAGGGGTTATTTGCATATAACCGACTTTGTTACGGAATATCTTCTGCCCCAGGTATTTTTCAACGGGTAATTGAGCAAACACTACAAGGTATCCCGGGTGTAGCGTCATTTCTTGATGATATTATTGTTACCGGAGCTGACACAGCTGAACACCTGTCGAGACTAAGAGAAGTGTGTAGTAGGCTAAAGACAACAGGGTTAACTGTTAGTAAAGATAAATGTCAATTTTTCAGTGATAGCTTAGAGTACTTAGGGTACGTAATTAGCCAAGAGGGTCTTGCCACATCCAAAGATAAAGTCAAAGCCATTGTAGAGGCACCAGTTCCAAAAGATGTTACACAGCTCAAGGGTTTTCTAGGTCTAGTTAATTACTATGCAAAGTTTGTACCAAATGTTGCTACCATTCTAACACCCTTGTATCAATTATTAAGGAAAGACGTAGTTTTTAAATGGTCTTTGTCATGTCAAAAGGCGTTTGAAGCTATAAAAGAAAGATTAGTTTCAGCTAATGTGCTAGCGCACTACAACCCAGACTTGCCAATTAAATTGTCATGTGATGCGTCACCCTACGGCATCGCAGGAGTGTTAAGCATTGTTGACAAAAATGGAATAGAAAGACCAATTTCATTCACAAGTAGAGTACTAAACTCAGCAGAAAGGAACTATTCTCAAATAGACAAAGAAGCACTAAGCATTGTTTTCTGTGTAAATAAATTCAATCAGTATTTATGGGGCAGGAAGTTCACTCTTTGTACAGACCATAAACCACTATTAGCTATATTTGGTTCGAAAAAAGGGTTACCAGCATTTGCAGCTGGCAGACTACAACGCTACGCGTTATTTTTGTCAGGTTACGATTACGACATTAATTATGTTAAGTCACAAAATCATGGTAACGCGGATGGATTGTCTAGACTTCCGCTAAATTGTAATGACAGGGAAGAAAGTAATGTAAATATTGATTATTTAGGAACATATCTCCAATGTATATCAGAGTGCGATGTACCAATAGATTTTAATGATGTGCGTAAGGAAACTCAAAAAGACAGTGAGTTAAACAGAATCCTTGGATTTGTTTTGTACGGCTGGCCAATCAATTCGGACGTTAATCTAAGTGACTATGTCAAAAGGCAAGCTGAGCTAACAGTTGAACACGGAATACTAATGTGGGGCTATAGAGTAGTCATTCCAAAATCCTTAAGAGGGGCTTTATTAAAAGAATTACATAATGGACATCTAGGAGTTGTAAAAATGAAGTCGTTAGCCAGGTCGTATTTATGGTGGCCTTCTATTGATAAGGATATTGAGGCCGTGACTAACAGTTGCTCAGCGTGTCTTGCACAGCGGGAATCTCCTGTTAAAAGTAAACTTCATGTATGGGAATTTCCTCCCAATGTTTGGCAAAGAATTCATGTCGATTTCCTTGGACCATTAAAAGGACAAATATATTTAATTGTACTAGACGCCCATAGTAAATGGATTGAGGTAGAACTTGTTAGTTCCACTTCAGCCAAACAGACCATTGACAAACTCAGGCCTATGTTTTGTAGATTTGGCTTACCAGAAATAATAGTTAGTGATAATGGTCCACCTTTTTGTTCTGAGGAATTTTCAAAATTTTTGAAACAGAATGGAATAAGACAAATCTTGACTCCACCTTACCATCCAGCTTCTATTGGCCAAGCTGAGAACGCGGTAAAATCAGTAAAGAAAAGATTAAAATGTGCAATCTTTGAAAATGAGGATGTAAATATAGCTTTACGTAGATTTCTTATCTCTTATTGTAACACAGTCCATAGTACCACTTGTGAATCTCCCGCCAAACTTATGTTTAATCGACCATTAAGAACTAGGTTAGATTTAATCAGACCAAACATTCAGTCAACTGTTGCTCAAAAACAAGAGAAACAGATCATAAATGCAAGGGGTACTCATACTAGACAATTAGCTATAGGACAATGTGTACTAGCAAGAGACTATAGAGGGAAGGATAAGTGGGTTGAATGTACGGTTGTTAGACGACTAGGGCCAGAAACATACATTGTACAACTAGAGACAGGCTCAACTTGGAAGCGACACATAGATCAGCTGGTAGGCTTGCAATCAGGCAGCAACATCAACACGGAACATAGCAGATACTACGATCCCGTGACGTCAACATCAGCTGTTACTACTTCCTGTGTATCGTCAGCACCGATGTCGTCACCAGCCAGGCCGCCCCACCAGCACACCCAGCCTCAACAGCTGAGTTCTCCCACTACTACGCGTCACTCACCAACTACACGCCAGTCCGAGCGGCATAGTCCTATTGTTGCGAAACGCCATTCTTTACAACCCGATCAGCTGACTGCTACGTCACCTGTTACAACTAATACTAGGCGATATCCACAACGGGATAGGAATCCTCCAAAGAAAATGGATTTGTAATTGTTTGTTATGGTTTTATATTTACGCTTGTTTGCAATTCTATTGTGTTTATTTTCAGCACTGATGTTTCAATATTTTTGTGTTTATTTTCAGCACTTATGTTTCAATATTTTTCTGTTTATTTTCAGCACCGATGTTTACAATCTTTAAAGTTGTTTTTAACTCTGATGTTTTCAAATTGTGTTTTTATTTTCATTACTGATGTTTTCAATTTGTGTGTATACATTTTTCCATAAAAATTTTATACAAGCTATGTTCAAAAGTAAGGGCGGAGGAAATGTAGTGTATTAATTTAATTATAAAATGAATTATATATTTCTAATTCAGATTCAAATATTACAAGTATTAAATTTGCTAGCTCGATCCATGTACCGTTAGATATCGTACGATGTGACGTCATATGGCCTGATCAAATAAACTAACCCCATTGGTTGTTTCCATCACACCACCTTCCGTTCCCACTGCTACCTCGATCACCCGACACTCTCTGTACAACAGTCATCGTCCTACCTCACCGGCTCCCGCACACCAATGCGGTTTTTCTTAACGTAAAGTGTGTTAATTATTTCGAGCACCTGATCCTCCTTCGCTCGCACCCAGGTTCGGATGCGACACCCCAATTTTTCAAATACAAGGTAGGACTAATAATATATTTTTTATTGTAAATATACACAAATCATGGATAAGCTGCACCTTAAGAATCTTAAATACAGGTTATGTCTCATGCATGTTCTTGATGCATACACTGCACACGTAAATTATTTAACAGTTAATTAAATTTGGACATATATTTTACAACATATGTATATTGGACATATGTTTATTAGACAAACTAAAATTGGCAAACCCATCTAGGTTTTGCAGCACACCTTAACTGCAGTCTTGGATCACTTAGATTTTGGTCAAACTTAAATATGAAGTACATAGGCTATACAATTTTAAAATAGCACTTCTTTTCATTACACTAATGAGGTAAGAGACTTAAGTCATCTGGATTTGGACGAGGAAGACCCGTTGCATGGGCAGGCAGATTCCCTGATCTTTTGCTATCTTATTCCTTGTTTGGGCATTCCTTAAATAGTGAATTGTATGCTACAGATTTATAAAATGAAAAGGACTTGAGAAAGCTGTATAATATACTCAAAATCAAAATGAAAACATTTTTAGATTTCCAAGGCAATCAATCAATCAATCAAATATTCTTTATTCACAAAGTTTAGACAATATGTCTTGCATAGCGTCATTAAACTAACATAAACAAAAAAAAAATTTTAAGGCACCGTTTGACCCTTTATGAAAAAAGTCCACTGGGCTGAGGCTGTGCAATGTGCTGCCTGCAAGCTATAAGTTGTTAAATGAAAATAATTTTAAAGATAATATAGTTGAACTCTTAATTTACAGAGCCTTTTATTTAATTGCATATTTTCACAATGCCCCTTTAGTTTAGAATAGTTTTATCATTCAATTTTGTTAATTTATATCATCTTCTTGATTACTATTTTATTTGTTATGTTCTGATAATTTTAACTCTGACAATGCACCTATTCTGTATGTACCAACACATGTAAAGAATGTCTATGTCTATACAGTAGGCCTAGTTGTAAAAAAGTTGAGAGGACCCTTTCCTATACTGTAAGATTACAGTTGCAGCAATGAAGAAAAGCTAAAAAAACACACAGTCATGTAAGTTTTAACAACGTATTTAAAATTCTTAAGGTGCGGCTCTTCCACCTTTCTGTTTGTATTCAATTAAACTAAATAATATTTCCTTGTATTTCAAAATTTATTCTGTAACATCACTTAAATTGCAAATATAATGTTAATTATTCATTCTTATAATTACTTCTGACTTGTGTTTTCATAAAATACTCTATACTAACCTGGTATTTAATAATTCAAAGCTTCATATTTCTCCCCTTAGGCTGACATAACATGTCACATATTGCATATAATTTTAAAGCTTAAAATGTGGAGATGTTTTTTAATTTTTTATACTATTTGACAGTTTTTACGACTTGATAAAAAATTTTCTTATGCGAGTTGTAGCACCCTTTTTTTTAGATTTTTTCCAAATTGGTTATTTAAGTCCAATTTACAAACTTTTAAATGGGTTTAGCTGTACCATATTATACGTCTTCTGATAGAAAAGTTAATGACGATTCTAAAAATGCATCTGAAAATATCATTATGTAGGTTAAAAGTTGAGAAATGTGAGATTTTACTAGGCAATGTCAAGAAATTTTGAAAAATCTAAAAATGGCTGTTGCCAGAAGTAGGAGTGAGATATGACTATCCAAATTGCGTATTTTTATCGCAATTTAAAAAATTGAGTATCAATTGCGTATTTTTATCGCAATTTGCGGGCATAATAATGCCTTATAATATTTGACACTGACTACCAAACACCCTGTATATATGAATTTGAACGGAGGGTGTTTTTTGCCTCTGGGGACTTCAAAACAAAAAAGTAAATCTGTCCCGGGTCCAGGTCTTACTATGAGTACTATGGTACGGTAATAGCTTATTCCCTATATGGGAAATTCGCTAAAATCAGAACATTTTTAAACTGTGACCCCACCTCATTTTCACCAAATACACACTGTTTAAAATTCTCACATTAAAGCTGCACACCCTGTATGCAATCAAAATGACCATTTCAGGATAGTTGCCATATTGGTTCTAGTGAATTACCTCTTTTCATCTAAGTAAGTTACCATAACCTTTAACCTGCAGCCAAATTTCAGTTATAGTGTAACCTTGATTTCTGAAAAAAATCTGTTTCTTAGCAAATACTTAATCTGTCAGAAAACATTGTTTCCTAAACTTTAAAAGAAATTGAATCCAAAACTAGATAGGGACCAAAACCGTAATTCACTGGTTATTCCCAAAGTTGTAATCCAGTAAATGACCTACTGTTTATTGTTGGTTAGGATTTTGATCTTTAAATGAGTACCTACAAAATTGTACCTTACCATGTTTACTGGAATTACATCATATAATATATTGCAGTTTCCACCAATAGTCTAAGAGCCATAACAAATACGACCAACCTTGTTTGTACAAGTCGCCATAGTGGGAAGCTTGAAGATGAACTAGTTTGAACACTTAATTTTGTATGTGTTACAAAGTTTCCAACCAATTGCAGGGTAGACTCCAATCAGGTTCCAAAGTTTGTTTGTGGTTGGCTAGAAGATTAGGCAAAACAAAAAGCTTGAAATTAATTTGTTTATACGAAACAGTAATTTACTCGAGGGTGGTCATTCACTGGTGCACTCACCCTACATAAAAAATTACAATTACAATTTAAATTGTAGTAAATGTTTACTGATAATTTGTTATGTGTACATAACAATCTTAAGGGGGTTTAAAGCTCAGTGTTGAATCCATATACGTCAGAGAGCATATAGCCTTTTAATTTTAAGTAATTTGTTTATGACCAATCAAAAATAATAATGACTAAGACTAATGTTGTTTCAGCAAACAGTTTGGAGAAGCGGGGATATAGTGTCAGTTCGTGATGTGGAGGGAGGTATATACTACGCTCAGCTTGACTTGTTCCTCAGTGACATGTATTGTGAACCGAGTGCTTCCATTACCTGGTTATTGCCAACTCGTAATGATTCGCCATTCAAAGACAAAGGATTTGATCCTATGTCATATGTACTTGGTAAGTTTTTCAATGAAAAATTTAAATGTATCATAAAGGCCATGCCACCCCTAGTTCGCTCCTGCGGTGGGCGCTAAGTTTAAAAATCGCTCACCATGTTAACAAATGGGACATAATCTGTGTGGAGACATAATCTTCGTCTCCTTCGATCATGATGAAATTGTGAGGATCTTCCAAGTTAGCAGGGACCTGATCTTCGACTCCCGCGGTCGCGATAATATCCCGGATATCATCTGCGATTGCGGATGAATAGTGACAAGCTTCTACGTTAACGGCGGTTGATTTTCTGTGGTCGCGCAGATTTCATCAAAGTCTCCCGCGATCGCGGCAAAACCGATTATTGGTAAAATAAATTTATAAAAAAAATTTTAGACCCCATGTGAGGCCCCCTTCTAGACCAAGGCCGCGGTAACCGCCGTGTCTGCCGTTAGGGAAATACGGCCCTGTTCTCCATATGGGAAATTAAAAGTATTAACCAATATTAAACATCAACACTAACTACAGTAACAGTATAACTCCTTACGTGCATTCATCTTACAACTTAAAAATCTCTGTCCATTAAATTTATTTTTCAACATAATTTTTTTTTTAATGGAATAAACCTTTTTAAGCAGCTTCCTCAACAGCTAAATCCAGAGTCTTATTTACTCAGGTTTAAGAAACATCTAAAAATCACATTACAGTAGAACACCGACCTCGGAATAACCGACTCCTCGGGATATCCGACCTAGTGTCCGATGCTTGATCACGGATGTTGCCGATATCGTGGCAAACGATTGCTACTGTTGCCGAGACCGTAAGACATGCTCACGGGTGTTGACGTGGTCACGAGAGACGATTACCGATGTTGCCGGAACAGCAAGAAATGATCATGAGTGTTGCCTCGGTCGCGGGAGACGATTACTGATATCGCGGGGACCGAACTGTCTCGATATCCGACCTTTTGGCCATTCCGACCATGACCCGGTCTTGTCATGGTCGGACACGTCATCAAGATGGCGGATAGCTAAAATAATCTTTGGAAGTGCTCTCGTTTATCTTTTAAAATCAGTTATTTTTAGCCTACACAATCTATTTTTTATCAGTTAAAAGTGAATTATTAACATACCTCTTTTCGTTCAGAAAAACATAGAGTGAAATAGTCGGTGATAGTGAAGATCCAGGACATTATCTGTCCAGCACAGTTGGAATGTGATAGATAACTGGTTGCACAAATATCCTGATAAGACCTGGTTGCGCAAACCTGCTGAACCTGCTGATAAGACCCGGACAAGGTCAGGATCACCAAGTAACTCAGGTGGACTTGTGTCGTCTGTTTGTTTACATTGTCCTGGACTTTTATTAATTTAACGTATTATAATTGAATTATTTTTTTTAAATATAAAATAATTCTATATTTTAACTTGCTGAACATTTTTACTATTAATTAATTGACATGTGCATACACATTTTCTTTGTTTTTTAAAGGGGAGTTTGTTTACATTGGACTTTTAACTTTTAAAAGGTAAACAAACCCTACACCTGGACTTATCTTATACTACTGATTATTTTGAGAAATGATTATTGGCTGATGGAATGAATAATGAGCCTGTGTTAGGCGATTCCTTAAACTATTAGCTCATAAATAAAATAATATAAAGTTTATATATATATATAGTCCATTCCAGATAAATAAAATGACAAAATTCCCATGTGGAACATGTGGGAAAGGTGTAGTCACGTCAGGTGTTCTGTGCAATGGAGCTTGCAATCTATGGTTCCACAGCAAATGTATAAATATGAAAAATATAGATTTAAAAAAAAATTTGCAAGGAGAAAAATCATGATTGGAAATGTGAGGATTGTTTTTCATCTAATGACAATAACTCCCTATTGACCCTGAAAGAAAGAATTTCAACCCTAAACAATGATACGGAGTTGGATCCTAATACGTCACTGACCATAGCAGCAGAAGCTGGAGTTCTGCTGCTGGAGGAAAATGATACTTTGAAACAACAAGTTCATGACTTAAAAAATGATAGGGTTAAACTTGAACAGCAAGGTGAGGCTAAGGTCAAAGAACTTGAAGAAAAACTGCTTTCTTTGTCAGGAGAAATTAGTAAATTAGAGGACGAATGCTCAGCTAAATTACAAAACACACATGATAAAACAAAAAAGGAAGTAGAACTTAGGATTAATGTAGTATCTCAATTGGAAGATGACAAGCAGAAATATTTAACTCAACTTAAGGAATATAAGTCACAAATTGATACATTAAAGGCACTTTTACGTCAAGAAACAGAAAAGCTCAAGATAGAAAGAATGAACTCTGAAGCAAGTTTGAAAGAATTAGAGGTTTTTAAGGATCAGATGTCTGAACTGAAACAATACAAAACCAAAATTGAGATCAAACTAAAAAAGCTGGAGGTTGAAAAGGATGCTGGAGAAGTTTCTAAGCTATTAAGGTCTGACGATGTAGCTTGGGACAAAGCACGATGGGTGGACGACACCATTCTTCAGTCTTACTTTCATTCATTTAGTGTGAACCCTGATCTTGATAAAGCATCTATTCTTTTTCTAGGCCCTCTTACAACAGAAATTCTTAAACACAGTTGTCAAGAAGATGCTCAATTTGAACTGGAGGTCATGCTCTTCAAGTCCTGCAGATATGTGTTTTGTTGTCTGAGTGATCGCCTTACCCCCGACATGGAAGATTCTGGATCCCATTGGAGTCTTTTAATATTTGACATCCCTAGGAAATTGACCTTTCATTTTGACTCAAGCTCTAATCACAATGAGCTCAGTGCACGCAAACTTATGTCTAATATTAAGCTAGAGGACAGTACTCTTGTGAATATTCCCTGTGCCCAGCAAAAGAACAACTATGAGTGTGGAATAAATGTACTAGTCTACACAAAGCTAGTCACTGATTTCTACTGTCAAAGCCCCCAACATAAGCAAGTGCCTTTACATGATTGGTTTGATACACATTTTTGTAAAAATAAAAATAGCTCCTTTTTGCCAACCGAAACATGCACAACTGGTACACAAACTTTGCAATCTAAAAATATTCAGCTATGTACAACCATAGATAAATCATACTCCCTAAGTAGATTTGTCATCCTTATGGAACAGCTGAAGCCAATTTCATTGTTAGTTCTGTACGTCCAACTGTAGAGGTTATGTTTTGTTTACAATTTGTTTCTTGTTATTTCAGTTATTTTAAACCTTATTTAACCAAATAATACGATTTAATCATAAACAATAACTGGTTTCCTAGTTATATAACCAAATAGTAAAGCACAAATCATGAAAATAACACTAAAATAATAGAAACAAAATTTTGTCTACCCCAGCGATCAGTGTGGACATACATGAACTAGACACAAAAAACAAGCTTCAAAATTTACAATGGGATGAGGAGTCTACTTGTGTTGCTTAGTCTATGGTACAACCAAAGGTTCTACTGAGAATAGTACTAAAATCAAGCCAGGCGATGAATGGATACGTGTGAGCAGATCCTATAAGAAAAGTAGACGCGCAAGCAAGGAAAATGTCTTACCAGTCAATATTGTTCAGACCAACAATAAATTTAGTGCACTTGTGAGTCTCCAGGAAACTAATCAAAATCTGAATAACATTGACCATAATGATGCTGCACCAAATCATCTTATTAAGGAGAAAATAAAAAGCAAACAGACTAGAGTAAAAATTAAAACTAATAGGAAGAACAAGTTTGTTGTCACTGAAAGGAAAAATCATGGTAGGACAGAAAACAAAAAAACTACATTGCCATCAGAAGATCTCAAGACCTTGCATCGAATTGAATCAAATAGAAAACCAAATTTCTATATAACCGGGGACAGTCATGCTAGAAATATTGCCGATATGCTATCCCCTCTTATGCCTCAGTATAGGGTATCATCTGTATTCTACCCAGGTGCCTCACTCTTATATGTGGTGGAACAATTGGCTAAAACCTTGGAGAATTTTCAAGAAGATGACTGTGTTGTCTTGATGGGGGGAACTAACAACACAGAACCAGCACATTTCAAACTAGCCTTAGCAAAGATCGAATCGCTTATTAAGTCTTCCAAAGCAAGGATTATATTGACAGAGTTACCCTACATCTATCAACAGCCAGAAAATGGGAAACAATTTTTTGAGATAGATGAATGTAATTCCTGGCTATTGTCTCTGTCAATCAAAATGAATGTGAAGTACTTAATTTTTTTCCTACAGTTACCTAATAATGTACATGTTCTCTCACTGATTTGAGAAAGCAAAGTGGCCAATTCGCTCATCAGTGAGACAATGTTAACATTGTCTCACTCTAATTACTTTGTCTCACTCCAGATTTGCAACGCGAAGGCACGAAATAGTGAGCGCGTAACATGCAGGCAACGTCGTATGCGCGCGAAATACGTTGGCAGCACTGGCTGTAAATCAGCTGGTCAGCTGTTGTACTGTTGTATTTGTCACTTCACATTAAATGTTATATTAAAAGTTCACTTCTGTGTAAAAATAGGTTATGTTTCTTCACAAATTTATTTGTTATATGGTAACTTTAACTGTAGGAAAAGTATAATGTGCAACTCGAGTTCAAAGTACAATTGCCTCACTCGAAAAACCATTCCTCACTCGCCTACGGCTCGTGAGTAAGGATTTCTCTCGAGTGAGTCAATTGCTCACTTTTCTCACTAGTTGCACAAATAACTATAGTCATAAACTTAACTCGAAAAAACATTATACTAAAGATGGATATCATTTAAATCAGACAGGAAAAACTGTTGTATCCAGGAGTATTGCAAATTGGCTAAACAAACCCTTCAGTACTGAGTCCAATTTAAGAACCAAGACAACAACTTTTGATCCTGCAGAACACTCTCCATCATCTGTTCCGAAGACACCTTTTAATCTCAGGAGCAATAGTGGGCCTATAAAAGTAGTGAGAACCGACATAACAGATATCATAAATAAACTCTCCAACCGACCAGACACAGCTTTTGCACATTGTATCT